GACCACCCTGCAAGAAAACAGGCCAAGCTTCTTCATTAATTTTCTAAAAGTGTTTATGGACACTTGGGTGGTCATCTGCTTGCAAAGCTGATCCATTGTCTGGAATGAATCTCTTGCCACTTTGCAAGCAACTTCTCTTTTGTCTCTCTCCTTCAGAATGGGCTTGTGCCCAGTGCTCTTCTTGGCCTTGAAACAGCCAGTTTCCTTATATCTCTTTACAATAAGGGAAACAGACTGCCTACTAACTCCAAACCTAGCAGAAATGGCAGCCTGGCTGGTCCCATTTATGGTGGCCTTGTGAGCAATGAGACATTGGGTGAAGTCATTGATATTCTTCTTTCTGTTCCTAAGAGGTCTCATGGGTTGTTTGGTGGTGTTATATGAGGTAGACATTAGAGTGGAAAAGCAATAAATGAAGAATGTATAATAATAATAAAAATTTAAGAGTAAAATTATGGTCTGATTTTGAAAATACCATTGTTTTGTTAGGAGCCACTGTATCATATGTAAAGCAAAACTCAACATAAGTAATATCCATCCATCAGCAACAATCCCCATCCACCCACATAGTACACAGTACACATTGGATACACCAACTATGGATCATGGCCAACCACCAACCATCAAGCAACCTCCTGTACCAGCACCTGTCAGACCCTTTGTGTCTGAGGCCACCACTGCCACCACCATTCCTAACTCAGACAGCAGAAAACCCAGACTACTTACCAAGCACACTCATGCAAATACTTATGAGTATCAAATGACTGAGGTAGAAAAGTCTGATACCTTCACCCAGCAGATGATGGCATTTCTGTCAGATATTCAGAGACAAATAGCAACAATTGGACTCTGCATCCAGGAATTGGAAGCACAAGTCAAGGTCAAAGATGACCATATTACATCTCTCCAGGCTCAGATCAATGCCAAGAGTGCAGATAATGCACCCAAATCACCTTCTGCCCCTACTCCCACACCCATCCCCACAGTGAAACCCACAGATGCCATAGAAAAGGCTACTGTCACTTATGCCAACATGGCTAAAAAGAATGCCTCCCCAGCAAAGAAGACAGCAAAGGCCAGAGCAGTGCTTAGAGCACAAACAGTTTGGGCCTTACAAGAGCCTACTGGGCCCTCAGTATATGACTTTGTATACTTGCCCTGTTGCTGCTACCTCAAGTATGGCCAGATCCACAAGATGTTGGGATCACTGAAGATCCAACAGTCATAGATCATAGACATCCACTTCCCAGCAAGGGGTACAATTGCACTGCTTATACATGGTAGCTTCAAGCAAGAACTTGAGGAGAAACTTGAGAAATCAAAGATCAAGCCACAGGCAAGCTTTGATCCAGCAGCTGCAAGAGTGATTGCAGACCCTAATCTACAGCAGGAGTATGACAGCACCAAGGCTGCAATGGCCCAAGAACTCTTTGAGCAAAGAGTGTCCAACACTTGTCTTTGTGCCCCCACCCATTTAGGGTACAGCATTGCTTGCCACTTTGGCTCAAGCATTGCCACACCCTGTCTATCCACCATTGCCTTTGAGAAGCTCCTGGCAGACCTCAAGGCCAAGGCCACAGTTGCCAGCCCTTCTGCCACCCTTGAAAAAGAAGCCCTCCAGGCATTTGGGTCTGACTCAGCCATGGAAGGAGTCAAGGGAGACAATCAACACACCCAACAAGACTTATAAACAGACCAATCTTTGGTCTATTAAAAGCTTGTGGGATTAGGCGCAAACTAATGTCTATGTCTGCATTGTCATTTTCTCTCATTTCTCATATTTCTCTTCATTTTTTCCCTCATTTTGAGGTTTTATATACTCTTATCTTTCTGTTTCTTTTTTCCTTGCATTTATTTTTTCCACTTTTGTATTTGAAAGTGTTTATATGTATATCTTAATTGTTCAAAAGTTCTCATAGGGTGGCTAACATGCCCAATGTGTGAATAGCAACCAATACCCAAAAATAATAAAATACTTTGAACTGTATCATATGTAAATTAGTATAAATAAGCAGCTATTTTGAATGAATAAAAAGCATCTTCTATCCTCTCTTTACCTATTCTTCTTTGATCTACGTGGGCTTCAGTCCAGACTTTGTTATCCTCAGTTTCCACTTATTGCTGTCTCTACTTTCGGGATTGATATTATTGTGTTAAAATTGGTAACCTAAAATTAATGACATGTCGACATGTCCGAGTGGTTAAGGAGTGTGATTAGAAATCACATAGGCTCTGCCTGCGTAGGTTCAAATCCTGCTGTCGACGATACTTTTTAAGAAGCCATATATTTTTTGCTTTTTCAAATGATTTGTATTCACACCCAAGGTTTTTCTGGTATTTAAACAGTGATATTTCTTTCCTTTTACATAATTAAAAGGCTTTGCTTTATATGAAACAAAGATTAAAATCAAAAGGTTTGCAGATATCTGTAATAAAGGGTACTTAGGTTATCAACAGGACTACTGAGAGACAACTCAATTTAATAGAATAATTATATTTAATATAAAACTCATACTATTTTAAACAGTATTGTAATATTTGGCAATGTCATAATAGAAGGAGCTGCTAGTGAGATGAAAGTGTAGGCAATTGGTCACTAGTAGGGTAACAGGTCTTGAGAGGAATGGTAATGCACAGATGTGGTAAGACAGTGGGGGATGGAATACAACAACAGGTTTGGATGCTTTAGGCACTTGTTCTTTATCTATTAACTTCTTTAAGCAAACAACTGCTTCTCAGACAGTTCAACATTACTTAACAACAAGCAAAAAACAACTTCTTTATTATTCCTTCAGAAATAAGAGTCTTTTATACCCTTTTCTTAGCTATTATTAACCATCTAATATACTCAGTCTTCTATACTCTTGGCATTCTCTTGATAGACAATATATGTGCTATCCTAAAGATGTCTCAGCTTTATTAGAGTATATTACTTTCTAAATGACATCTTTTTTTTTCTAAATTAGTTATTTTTTTTTAAAACCATTCTTATTTTATAATCAACACATTTATTAATATATAAAAGACTATTGATTAGCAATATATATGTACATAAAAAAGATTATTTCTTTATAATAAAATTAAAATAAAATTAGACATTTATCAAAGTAGAAAATAACAAGTCTGAACAAAGATAATTTTTATTAAGTGAAGAGTGGTTTATTATTTATACTTTTTGTGGGTGCTTGTAATGACTAGTTTGTTCTTGGCAAATTATGAAAGTAATTTGGGCATCACCAATGGTCTTGTCCCAGACAAACTCATTAGTCTACCATTTGTCTCAACCATTATAAGTCTCTTTCCTCCCACTCTTATCTTTGTCTTGGCTTGTTGTAAATCAATAGATTTGTTTATTAAGTTATTTTAGAATTAGATTGCAGTATATAACATTTAGTATAAATACTCAACTTATTGTCATAATAAAAACAATATCCTGATATCTGTTTCCTTCTCATACTCTGTCCTTGTCTTCCCTTGTCTCCTACCATTGTTCTCCTACCTGTTCCTGATGCACAACACCTAGTACCTCTGCTTCTTTCTCCTGTCCAACCCTGATCCTTACAGTGCTTATCCTTCAGTGGCATTCTACCTTTTGGTAGTTAATGATTAGTCCAGGGCATAGCTTATTGATAGATGCAACCATATGGTTGATTCATTGAATAGGCACACCATTATAGAGCCATCTATTATGTGTCTTCACTTTAATTGCCTTTGATAGGTATTATTTAATCCACTAAGGATTTATAGATGAAGGTAGCTCTTATTAAGTGTCCAATAGTAAATCAAGCTTAGAATGTTGATTTGTAGTTACAACCAATTAGTGAGATGATACAGAGATTTACTATGTTACTTGTGTGCACTCAAGCTTTCATAGAGGATTCTGAATGTCACAGCACACTACTTGTGTTGACCTATTCATAGAGAATCTTTGGATTGAAGTCAGAACACAACAGCCACAAAATATTCTTAGTCAGTTTATTAGATGATCAGCCCTCTTTAGTCTTGGATCAAATGATAGAGAGTTTGAGAACATCTTTTAATGATTTGGAGATATCAAAAACAGCTCTATACAGTTTTGTCACCAAAAACTGTAAGATCAGTCTGAAAAGAGCACATTTTCATTCAGTTGATTGTAATAGTCCTGAAAAGATCAAGGATCAAAAGGAGTCAGTACAAAAATAGATGAAGACAGATATGGACTACATGAGCAACTGTGTCTTTATAGATTAGGCAGCATTCCACATCAACATGAAGCATACTTTTGCTTGGTCAAAAGTAGGTACTTGCACAGTAGTAAAAGTACTAAGAACAAGGGATAAAACAACAACTATCATGGGAGCAACATCTGGTCAAAGTCTTGTTAACATAAAAATAAGACAGGCTTAAATGTTGCCTTCTTCAAAGAAGAGAAAAAACTACTGGATCTGGTGGGCCTTCCCAGAAACAAAGCAAAGGCACTGTTACTGGCCACTATATCAATTTCTTGAGTGATAAAATAGATGTCATGGATAATTTCCCAGATGTTTTCAAGGACAATTACTTGATTATGAACAATGCCCCTATCCATATGAATGAGGACATTAAAAGCTTCATTGAAGGCCATGGGTACAGGTGTGTCTATCTTCCACCATACTGACCAGAGTTGAATCCCATCAAGCAATTCTGGTCTGTTTGCAAAAGCAAATTGAAAAGAGAAAGACTATTGGAAGAGGAAATGCCATCATCTAGAATTGCCAATGCATCTAACAAAGTTTTTTTTTTTTGGTGATCTCAGAGAATTTTGCAAATACTCTGTTAATAGATTTGAGGTTTGCTTACAAGAGAAGCCTCTTTAACAATAAAACATTTATGTCACATTTGTTACATCTAACTTATATGCCATCTTTTAATTTATTAATGCAACAATAATAAGTGAAAATAGTGTAATATATATTTCTTTTTATTATGATTGTACCTCAAAAATAAGATCATTTCCTATAAATGGAAATTAATAATCAAATTGCTTCCATCCGGGATCGAACCGGAGAGCAATTGCGTGTAAAGCAAGTGTCATACCACTAGACCATGGAAACACTTCTCTTTCTACTAAAGATGACTTTTTTTTAAAATTCATAAGTTCAATCCAAAAATTCAAAAACGTCCATCCGTCTCCAAAAAGCTACATCCATCTGCATCCATCATCAATCCATCTTCCCCCATCTCCCGACTATCTTCTACAAAAGTTTCAGACCTCCAGCTCTCAAACTTGACCAGATCCACTATGTTCTCTTCTCCAGCAGGACAACAACACCTTTTGGCTAATGCCACCACCACCACCACCGAAGCTCAACTTATCTCGGCAGTGACGTCACTCCAACAGAGCTTTGCTCAAATGGCTTCTGAGCACACCCATCAGAAGCAGAGACTTGAGGCCTTTGAGGCCATTATGGAAGAAAACAAGCAGCTGAGAGAGACTGTGGCAGCCCTTGAGGCAAAGCTTGCTGCCTTACTAATAAGGCAACTCCTGTGATACAAGAGGTGACACAGGCACCAAAGAACCACCAACAGGCTGAGAAGACAGCCAAGGACTCCACATGGGCTACTGTAGCCAAAAAGACCCGCCCAGCACCTTCAACTAGGAGAGTGGAATCTGCTGCACGTGCCTTCATCATCCAAGAAGGTCCTAAAGGTTACACTTATGTGTACATTCCAAGAGGCAGATGCATGAACTGCCCAGAGGCAAGACGCCTCCTGAGAACCCTTGGCCTGGAAACAGGTAGAATCCTGGATGTGTGTTTCCCTGCCCATTCTGTTCTTGGTCTTTTGGTCCATGTCCAGTATGTTGAGTCTCTTACTGCAGTCTTGAATAAGGCCAAGGTAGATATCTACAAGAACTTTGACCCTCTGGACCCCAAGCATCTGGCAGACCCAAAATATGCCACCTTCAATGTTGAGCAGATGTGCATTGAGGCAGCCAGACTCCAAGAGAACAGATGCATGCAGGCTATCCAGTACATGCGCCCCCACATTGCTTTTTCTGTTGCTGCTGCTTTTGTAGCCAATGGCTGGATCAGTGAAGAGCAGATGCCCCCCAAGCCAACCAACAAGGGATACATTGACAGAGATGACCCAGCAAATGCCTTCCAAGTGAGCAGAAGAAGCTCTGTTGCCATGTCTGAGTCCTCCAACAACAAACACCAATATGAATAGAGTCTCTATAGGCCTATGGAATGCCAATGGACTTCAACAGTCTATGGTATATGACATTATGACACACTCACACTCCTTTACTATGCTCTTTATCACAGAAACCTGGCTCCTCTCTCCCTCCCACCTCCCTACTTCCTGGACACAGTTCCACACCTATGGCAAGCCTGTTGAGAACAGCTACCATGGCTCACTTGGTATCTGTGCTCTTGTTTCTCCCTCCTGTCCCTACCATGTTACCCACATCCCTATGCCCTCCCCCTATGCCCTTGGTGTCCAAATTGGTTCACTGAGAATTATATGTCTCTACCTTCCCCCCTCCCTTTCCCTAAGACACTTTTGCAGTGCTCAACTCCATTCCTTTGACAGAGGACACAATCATCTGTGGGGATCTGAATGCAAGACTTGGTGCAGTTCTTGGGACCATGACACAAATCCTAGAGGTACAGCCCTACTGGAATGGCTAGAAGAACGTCAGCTGTATGTCCAGAACAGCATGCATGCCTTTGGTCAAGCAACCTACCACTCTTTCCAACAAGAACAAGAGATGAGTAGCATTGTGGATCTGTTTGTGTCCAGCTGTCTCTTTGACAACACATTCATGATGGTGTATGGTGATCTCTCTCTTGGTTCAGACCATAGGCTGCTCAGTATGACATTTGATCATGACATGTCTACAGCTCCTCTCACACCACCACCCATCAGAAGAATGTGGAACCTCTCACGCCTTGTGGAGCCAGATGTTGCTGATCTATACAGAGACAAGTTTGATAGTCTCTCCTCTCAACTATGTCAACTAATTACATCTACAGTGAGCAATCCTCCTGGTGTCTGTCCTGACATTGATGGCCTGACAGATCAGCTCAGCAGCTGCATCTACTCTGCTTTGGACAGCTCTGTTGGAAGCAAGACACATAGACCTGCACATTGGCAGAAGTTCTGGAGTGAGGCTCTGCAGGTGGCAGTTGAGAAGAGGGAGCACAGCTTCAAGAGCTGGAAAAGGGCAAGAGGCCTGGACAAGGTTTGTTGGTGGCAGAGGCACCTGGATGCACAGAGGGCCTTTAGGTGTGAAGTGCAAAGAGCCAAGAGAAGACACTGGCAAGAGTTTTGCAAGAGCATGGAGAGAGACTATGCAAAGGCTACATCCAAGGTGAAGCAGATTCGTAGAAGAAGACAGCCACAGCAGACATTCCAACACCCAGATGGGCCAGCAGCAGCAGCAGAAGTGATGAGCCAACACCTTGAGAGTGTTTATAGAGGCTCACTATTAACATCACTTAGACCACCAGTAACAGCACAGCAGCATCAGCATCCCTTCCCAGCAGCCACAACACCATTCTCACAACCTGTTGTCAAGTTCTGTATGAAGCTGCTGCCAAATAGGAAAGCACCAGGAGTAGACCACCTGAGAGCAGAAATGCTAAAGCCACTCAGCACCACCATTGTCCCCATTCTTTCTGGTCTGTTCACCATGTGTTGGCAGTGGTCCTATGTTCCTCTCCCATGGCGTCAAGCACAGGTGTTCCCCATCTTCAAAAAGGGTGACCCAAGTGATCCAGCCAACTACAGGCCAATCTCATTGACTTCTGTTCTCAGAAAGCTGTTTGAGGTATGTCTAGCACCAGACCTGCACAAGTACTCTCCCCCACTTGATGTTGCTCAGGGTGGATTCAGACCAAGACGAGGTGCACTGGACCAGGCTCTGTGTTTACACAACCTGATGAAGAGATATTATCAGAGACACCACCACTATCCTGTGGTAGCCTACTTGGACATCAAGGCAGCCTACGACACTGTAGACAGGAACCTGATCTGGGATGCCCTGCACAAGAGAAACACACCGCCACCACTGCTTGCTTTGCTTGTCCACTTGTTTGATGATGTCCATGTGTCAGTCATCCTGAACAACTATGTGTCCTCTTTGTTCTCTCCAGTAACTGGTGTACTGCAAGGCTCAGTTCTCAGCCCCCACCTTTATTCAATCTACATTAACCCACTTGCATGTCTTTTCAGAAGTGTGGCAACAGCAACAACAACAACACATGTGCAGTCTAGCTCACCATCATCTTTGGCAGAGTATGAAGAATCACTAACAGACAACAGTAGCACCACTATGGATAAGCCTACAGGAATCAACTCACTCTTCTTTGCTGATGATATTGCTGTCTTTGGTAAGGTTGGAGAGGTTCAGCACATGCTGCGTTTGGCAGAGTACTACTCTGTTTCAGTTGGCTTTAGATGGAGTCCTTCCAAGTGTGCAGTGGTCCTTCCCCCTTCTGTTTCCCAAGCAAACCAGTTCAAGATATATGGAGAGGCCCTTCCAGCAGCCAATGAGTTCATTTACCTTGACATGCCCTTTGTCTACAATGGAATCAACTCCTCTGGGATTATCTCACACAGAAAGCAAGGCACAATGTTTGCCATGTCCACACTGCATGCTGTTGGTGCCTCACATTCTGGTTTCTCTTTGCTCCTCAGCTCAAGACTATACAAGACCTTCATTAGGCCAAAGTTTGAGTATGGTCTGGCAATCACTGTTCTTTTGAAGAAAGATATCAAAGCTCTGGAGAAGATACAAGACAGGTGCCTAAGAATGATCATAGGTGGCCACCCCACTAGCTCCACTCAGGTGTTGAAGCATATCTGTGACCTGCCCAGCATGAGTTTCTGCTCAGACTCTCTCAAGACAAGGTTCTGTCTACGTGCTGCCTCACTTCCACCCCAATGTCTTTTGTCTCTGCTGTTGAACAGTCCAGGAGTGCCACTACTTGAACCACTCACCAAGAATCATCTCTTTGCCTCTCTTCCAGGAGTGTTGCCAGAATCATCTGCACAGCTTAGGCAATACTTCCAACAACAACACCAACAGCTCCTTGACCAGTACCTGCAAGTGACAGACAAGGTGCTCATCAAGGCATGCAGGCCAACACTTGGCATTGATCCAGTCCTCTTCTTGCCAGCAACCAGACATGACAGAAGCAGGCTCATATGTTGGAGAATGGGATGGCTTCCTGGTAAGCCACATCCATGTCAGTGCAGTCCAGCAGAGCACACCTCCAGAAGACATCTTGCAGAGTGTCCAGCAATTCCAAGGGACCTATGGGATCAACTGCCACCAGCACCACAACACTGCCATCCATTGGATCACACCATCAACTGTCTTTCTAAGAAATCTTCTTCCTGTCCTTCTTTCTGGGTGCCTCTACATACAATTCTCTGGCATATAGACCAGCTTTGCAACCCTGACAGTGAGTTTAGTCCCCACTCAAGTCCAGGCATGCTTTGGCATGATCAGGTGCACCAGGTGCATGAATGAACAGCTTTTTGTTCTGCTTCTCTGGCCTCCTCCCTCTCACTGTTACAATCTTTTAACACAGCTACAGAGTGGAGAGCAGGGACAGCCTTAAAGTCTAGTAGTCTTAGTTTCTCTCTCTTGCCTGTCTTTTTTTGTTCTTTTGTCCTGTAGAACTTTTTTGTTTATTTCAATTAGTGCAAGGAGTGCAGTAAGGCTTCATTAAGCAAATGCATATATCTCCTTTAATAAAAAATCTTTAACCTATACTATCACGGCAGTTGATAGAGTCAGTTACCAATTTGAATAACATAATACTAAGCCTGAAAGTAGAGACAGCAATAGGAGGAAACTGAGGATAACAAGGTCTGGACTGAAGCCCAAATAGATCAAAGAAGAATAGATAAAGAGAGGATAGAAGATGACTTTTATTCATTCAAAATAGTTGCTTATTTATACTAATTTACATATGATACAATTGACTAAGTACATCTTGTCTTCAGTCTACTCAGGGTGAGTGTGACTTCATCCAAGACATACTGTTTGTTTGATTATTTAATAAACCTAAAAGAAGTAATCCATGTGAGTCCAATA